TTGCTATGGTCAATAAAAATGTATACCTCATATGTCAAATCAATCCACAAACTTCAGCATATCATATTAATGATACCGCTTACTATCTTCTTGAACTATTTTGTGATTGCCTTTCTTGGTAAAATTCAAATCAATTTTTAACAATTTCTTTCTCTCTCCAAGTAATAAACTTAATTCTACAATTTTTTTGAAAGAAAACAATTCCCTCCTAAAAATTGTCTAGGGTTTCTTGGCAAACTTCAATCAAAATGAGAATTCCTTGCATTATTTGCATGTCCTGTCAATTAACAGAGTCACCATTCAAACCAGTGACAACAAGGCACAAGTTAAAATTTTAAAAGTAATTAGAACAGGACAGGTTTGGTCCAGCCCATACTCTTATGGCAATGGTATTCACAATGTAAATAGCTGCAGTTACAGGAAAAGAGAGTGGGAGAGAAAGAGAGCAGGATTAGTAAAGTCAAGTGGTCCATTTCATAAAGTTGTCAAAAAATTTTAAGAAACAAGAGAAACAAACGGTCAATAATCTGATAAAAGATGATATTCCATTCAAACAGGCAAGTATCATTTGGCAAGACACTAAAAGTTGAAGAAATCTACATACTTCCATTTGTTTACTATCATAACTACATTCATTGGAAACTAGCATGCAAAGGTTTATTCTTGTCAATAGCATTAGTGCTATTTATACATCTATTCTAATATTGGCAACAAAGTAATCTTAACATAAAAAAGCAAAATCCCAAACATATATAAAGCCATTTTTGAGGCCTATCAATATTGATAAATCCCCAGTGATATTAATCTATCCAAACTCAATTCATATCTAAACCAACTTGCAAAAACTCCAAATGACATTAATCCATCCGAGCTCACATTATAACAATGATGAATGGCTCATAGGCATTAGCGACTTAGCATCACAACTAATTTCAAATAATATCTACTCAATAACATATAGATTACCCTAGTTCAAGATGCACATATCACTCAGCTACAAGGCTTTTGCAGATAAGGAATAGAATATTTGTACCAAATATATCAGTCAACAAGCACATTGACTACTAATTTTCATTTAAGAGGTTAGAGTTAAAATGTTTTAATCATCAAGTGTTTGCAGAGTATATGCACATATACATTAGAGTGAAGGAAAAGAGGTGAAGAGGTGAATATTTGAGATATCAAACATTCTATCTTAGCCTTCCTGTAAATAGATTGATCATCCTACAATCATTCCCAATAAAGTGTAAAGTTTTATTCAATGCATATAAATCTTCAATGCAAGAACAAAAATTTAATCACTTCCCTTGGAATCACAATATCTTAATCTACTCCATAAAAAGACAACAAGAATTCACTACATCTAGTAAGTAAGCACTTTAGACTGAATAACACAACCCAACATATTGCAACAACTTCCCATGCATCAACAATAAGAGAAAATACACATGAAATATCAAGATTGGCTCCCATCCGCCCAAATCCACAAAAATCAACACTCTGAATAAGATAAAGAATACCAACATGCGATGGCTCAAAGCTTAAGGTTCATTCAGCCTCAAGAATAAATAGTCTTGGTACACAAAACATTTCGCCCTGGCCTACAAGCACTCGATCAATCTTATATGTTTTGTTAGCAAAAACAGAAGACATACAAGATACAACACTATCTTCCAAATCCAACAAAAACAACAACATTTCACACAAGGAACAACGATCAAAATATCTTTCAATCATTAAACAAAAGAAGAACCAAAATTTAATATAAAAACAAAACCTTAGAACTTGCTCCAAAGTAAGTCTCCCTTCATTGTTCAACATTGCAGATTGAATCGACCCGTGACACCTATCCATAACAATCCCCAAATTATTTTCTTCCAACCTAACAACACCATGGAAAGTACAAACATTCCTACACCACATTGATGCACGCCTCAAACTCTCAAGTTGACCTTGTACCCATTCCCCATTCATCCCTTCCATTGCCCCTACTTTCTTCACCGCCACCTTATGCTTACACCGCCTTCCTCCTCCCCCGCTGTGGGCCCCACTGATCACCGCAGCCCATGTTTCCACCCCTGCTCTTCCCCCTTTTCCTTCCCCTTTCCCTTCTATCTTCCTAACCAACTTTACGTTCGGATGAGCCGTCAGTTCAATCACCGGTCCGCATCCGGCAGCACCACCACAAGAACTCGATGCATGGGACCCGCGGTTAATCCGACCACCGGCCAAGTCATCGAAAAAATCTCCATTTTCCTCATCGTCCTCCCTCTCTTCATCGTCATCCTCTTCTTCATCCGTGTAATCACATTCGAAATCGTTCCTCGAGTTGAACCCAGCTGAATTGGGGTTCGAGTTAAGAAGAGCCAAAATCCCATAGTTCTTCTTCAAAGCCTGAACAGAGTTACCAACAAGGGACACGTGGCGGCACCGGGGACACGGCAAGGAATTATCGGGTGAAGCAGAGAACATTCTAGAAAGACACTCTTTGCAAAAGGCATGGCCGCATTGAAGCAATAAAGGAACTCTCTCTTCCTCGTTGTACCGCGTTTGGCAAACCGAACAACAAGGTACCTTCATTTTGTTCCCTTCTTTATTTTCCCAGAAAGTAAAAAACTTTCTCAGAAACCAAACAGGGGATCAGCAATATCTATCAAAAAAAGATCTCTTTTGGAGAAGAAGAAGGATAAGTCAATAGAGGAGCAGGAATGGCAGATCCATTAAAAGGAAAATGAAGGCTTAAAAAGAGATCATCAATTTGATATTTTGATAAATTAAAGGAAAAAAATAGGGTTTTTTCATAGAGAGAGAGAGAAAGAGAAATGAGGGTTTTATAAAGAGAATAAAAGGATTTTCCTTTTCCTTTTTTTTTTTTTTTTAATTTTCTTTGTGTTTTTCCTTTGGGTAATTTGGGTTTGGGTTTTGGCTGCTGAGAGTGTTGAAGCTGTTTTCAGTTTGGTGACTTTAACTGAGTTATGAACTTATGACTAACTCACGCACCAACCGTTTCTTGCTCCCTTTTACCCTTTTTTTTTTTTTTTTTTACTTTTTTATTCTCTTTATAATTAGAAAAAGGATTTAAATTCGATTCCTATATTGCATATTGTTATTGGAATTGCTTTGATTTTAGATTAATAAAGTAAACTTTTGAAACTATCAAACTAAGTCAAATTATATTTTTTATTAATTTTTATATTATTTTTTATTTTTAAATAACAATAATTATTTCATTTCAAAAAAATATATAAATAAATTAAAAATAAAAAATTGATTTTTACACTAACCAAAATTTTTTTTCTTCAAAAACCAAATCGAAATCGTTCACTTCAATCCTCAAGAGCATTGAAAAAAAAAATCTCAATTATAGGTGATTAATGTGAGAAAATATATTTTAAAATTATCCAAAGATAAATAAAATTTAAAATATTTAATACATTATCAATATATAAATATTATACATAGTCAAATATCAATGAAACATCTCATAAAAATTAATCTTAAATTTTTATTTAAAAAATAAATACCTTTAATTCTAAATATATATAATTAATTTTTTATAATTAAGTACAAAATTTTTATTAATTATCTTCAAATCTATGCACTATCAAAGAAAAAGGAAAGAAATTTCCTGCAAGGAGAAAATTGAAAAAGTATGAAAAGCATGGCAAGAGAAAATCTATCACTTAAATTTTCCTTCCTTCTTTTCTACTTTTCTCTTTATTCTACCATTGATAGAAATTCAACATAAGAATGTGGCTATCATTTTCAAGAAAAATGTAGATTAAAATATAATTGTACCTTTTTTAATGCAAGTTATAATTGTACTTTAATAATATGGACAAAATAATTTTCTCTTAATAAAAAGTCATCATGAATTATGTCACCAATAAAAATAAAAATAAGTAATAATTTGGATCTTATCTTATTTTTAATATGATTAAAATTATTGTATCTTCAGTTAAATTTAAATATCAATTTTAATAAAATTAAATTAATATAATTTTTTTTCAATTACTATTACATTAATTATTTTAATTATAATCATAATAAATTTGATTATTATTTTTTATGTCATCACAATTAAATGGAACATAAATTACTTGTAAAATGAAACAAAAACAATTATTTAAAATATTAGGCCATTTGGGCTTAATTTCTTTTAAGCTTTCAATGGGCAATCTATTTTGGAAGCCCACTTGAGTTTATTGGCTTCTTGGATCTTGTTGGCTTGACAAACTTCTCTTCTAAACTTTGATTAATTTGGACTTACTCGGATTTCCATTGAAATTTTGGGAACTTTAGCATTGGATTCTATACTCAAATACAATAAATTAATTTATTTTAAAAGTATTGAAAAATTCTCAATAATTTTTCATGCACATTTTTAAATCAATATTGTGAAAATATCTAGGATAAGATTTAGAAATTTTTTAATATAAAAACATGTTTCCAATTTCTACTCAAAACCCATTTCACCTTTACAATTTGAGCAAAATGCAATAGCATAGAGTACTCTAAAACAAAAAATTTTCACCACCTAATGTTTTTGCAAAAATATTATTAACATAATAATTTTTTAAATATATTAAAATAATAGTTTAATATAAGAGAGATGACATTTGTTTATTATTATTATTATTATTATATTAATCCACTAAAAAAAGTCCAAAGAATAAATAAAATAATAATTTCACCATAGCTAACATTAAAATAGTAATTTCATTAAAATAAATAAAATAATAAATTCAAAGTTTAAATTAATTTATTCATATAATTATTTTTAAAAAATAAAATATTTAAAAATTTTGGTACTTAAATTCTAGGATATACAATTTTCTTTATTATCCATTCAAATTTTAGCATTTATAATTTCCAACCTCTTTTATAAAAATAAAATAAAATAAAGAAAACAATGGATTTTGTTTTCGATTTTCATGTTTTATCAAACTCTCAAATAAATTAATATATATATATATATATGAAATACAGCCTATATATAATACCCAAAAAAAAAAAAAAACCATGATTATATAATTATTAATTACATATAATTACATAGTTCTAAATTAATTAAACTGAACCAAAGCTTCCAATAGCATCAAGCTGAGAAGGATCATTAAACAAATTTGATGTAAACATCCCCAAGAAGCTACCTTCCGTCATAAGTCCATCATCCAATGGCTCAAACACAGATTCATGGTTTGAATTAGCCAAAGGCAGACCAACAACACGATCATCGACAACCCTTGTTGCGTCGGAAACGGTAGGAGAACTTTCAGAGCTGTCGCAGTTGTCCATGAACCGGACGGCGGCATCGGAGTCTTTCCCGGTGAGTTCTTGCACCAAAGCTCGAAACCGTGAGGCACATGTCTTAACCTTCATGGGACTCGAAATATAAACCACTTTAATATCTTTCTTGGAATTGCTTCTTCTTGAATGCTTCTTATTGCTTTTCATTTGGCGAACGCCTGATACATCCATAGAAGAAATTAAAAAAAAAAAAAAAGTACCCTTTGGAAAGAAATGAAAGTGTGTCAAGTCTAGAAGAAATGATTGATGAACGTGGGAAATAATTTAACTATGTTTTGGGGTTTATATAGGGGCCACGAAAATGGGATTCTTTTTAGTAAAAGAGGTAATTTCGTGGAAGGAGATGAGATATAAAGAGGATAATTGCTAAAGTATTGATATAGAAAAAGGAAGGTGACAAGAAGGAAGGGAATGAGAAATTAAAAAAAAAAAAAAAAGGTAGCTTATTTTAAAATAAATATGATAATTTGTGTATTTATATTATATTTGTTTTACATTAACATATTAAATATAAAAATATTTATTTATTTTTATTATTAATATTTATTAATTTGAATAGTAAAAAAATTAATTTTTTTAAATTAAATTTAAATTTCAAATTTGTAAATAAAAAAAATAAATTTAAAAAATTTTGTTCTTTTTATAAAATTCGACTCAATTCAATTTTGATTTAGTTGAAATCTAAAATAATTATAGGATATTGAAGAGTTTTAAATTAAAAAAAAAAAATTTATTAAATATATATATAATTTTTATCAAAATTTTAAAATATATTAATTTTATATTATTTTTATATGATATATAGTATCATATTTAAAATTATCAAATTTATTTTATACTTAAATGAGCCTAACAATACTTAGGCTAAAGGGTTAGCTAATGTTTGAAAGAGACATTGTTGTGTATTTTTGGTTCAATGTAACTAAAGCAAATGGATAAAAAACCACGTGCGCAGACTCTTGTGACCATGGAAACTTGACTTTTGATTTGGAAAAAATCTTTATGTGGCTCAAATCCATCCGTTGGGGAAAATTTTTTTTTTTTTCTAGTATCTTATTTTGTTTTATCAAATATTTTAATGTGGCTGCTGTTGCTGTGTCGACATCGTTTATCGTCAACTTGTATCCTGTTTTTCCAATTTTATCTTTCCTTTTCTAAAAGTTTGAGTGTTTGTCCAGATTTTTGTCGATCATTGTAGCCATCAAATAGCAAATATTTATTTATTAATGGCATTGAATCATTATTTTATTAAATATTATCTTTTAAAAATAATTATTTAAATTAATTAAATTAAATTTCATATTATTATATTTTTTATTTAATTTTTTAAGTGAAATTTATAAAAATTTTTATTAATAATGATTTAATATAAATTTTAATAAAAATTTAAATCAATAAATTAATAAAATTTAATATAAAAATTAAAGATATTATTTATAATTTAAACTTAATAAATACTTATTTAACGAAAAAAATTTATTAATATTTTTATTAAAATTTATCTAAAAAATATATTAAAAATTATCAAATTTTACATATTTAATTTATATAATAAAAGTTTTTAGTTTATCAATTTTTTTAATTATAATTTTTATTTAATCATTTTTAATAAAAAATTTCACTTAAAAACTTTATCTTAATTTTTTACCGTTGAAAATATCTTTCACATTAAAGTTATATACCAATTTCTATTAATGAGCAAATGATATGCATTTAAGAGTCTTGTGCAAGACATTAATGTTTTGTTGATATAAATATTTATGCTATATATATATATATTTTTTGTAAGAAAAAATTTAAAAATAAATAAATTATTCAGTTTCTTAAATTACGGTAAGATATATTATATCTAATAACTTAAGATAGGTGATTATAAATCATGCATTCAATATAATCCTAACAAATGATCATCGACAGAATTTGAACCAAAATTTTTTCGTCAAAAAAAATAAATTTTAATCGATTAAACAAATCCATTATTAATTATTTATGCTATATATATATATATCACCCTATTCAAGAGTAATGACAAAATTTTGAGAACAATTTTTTTTTTTAAATAATCAAAATTTAAATTATAGTAATATGTCTGAAAATTTTCCAATTTGTTTTTCCTAAGCCTAAGAAAGGGATATTCATTGTGAACCTTTTAATATTTTTACTGGTAATAATAAGAGATTGTAATCTTGTATCTACCATAAATTAATAACCTAAATTAAAAAACAAAAAAAAAAAAAAAGAAGCTCGAAGAACCCTTTTTATTACATGACAAAACCTTGTAAGATTTGAATATCCATTCGACCATTATTATAAAAAAAAATAAAAAATTCATATGTTGAACTTCTAGACCTTTTAACATAAAAAAAAAAAAAAAAAGAGTAAAAAAATCCACATGTTGATGATCTAGACGTTTTGACATTTACCCATGTTGTTTTTTTCTTATGTAATGGAAACAGTAGACAAATCTGTCTTAATTTAATAACATTGAATCAAAGTTCAATGACAAACAATTTTTTTTTATTAATTTCACATAGCTATTCGTGTACTCAAGTAGAATTAGTATTACTTATGAATCAAAATAGCATAATTTTTTTTAATAAAATAAGCAACAATCTCGAAATTTTTTTTTAAATATTAAAATTTGAATTTCAAATTTGTTAGATAAATAAATATATAACAAATTGAATTAAGCTCTAAGTTATATAATTTTTTATCTTTATTTTTTTTACTTTTTTGGCCAAATGACCATATTTATTCATTTAAAAATGTCAATTTTGTATTTAAATATTTGGTTCAATATTATTCGCCCACTATGTTGTTCAATAAAAGAATAAAGAATAAAATTAATAAAAAATAGTGACAAATTTTAATGATAATAAAATTTAATATTGACTTTATAATACAATAGTCAATTTGACCTTAACATCAAGAGAATTACGATAAACAATTTCTTAACCAAATTTAAACAAATGATTTTATCAAAATTTATATTATAAATATGGAATCAGGTTGAAATAAATATTTTTTTTTATAAAAATATTTAAAATTTAATAAGAAAAAAAATTTGTAAGTGATCGTGATCAAATCTAATTAGATTAAACTTCAAATTTCATAAAAACATAATAACCCAACTTATTAGGTTAAATCCCAAGTTGTATATGAATATGATAACCCAAGTTAAGTTTGGTATTTCAATTTTAATCTATCCTTAAAACTTAAAAAGTAAAAAAAAAAAAAATTTATTTTTCCCACAAAAAGATTAGAATATTTAAAATTATTATTTCAATAAATAAAATTTTTAAATTTTATAAAATAAAAAATTATTATGTGTTTTTATTTTATATATATCTTAAGCTTAACGGGTAATTCTCTGAAATTATTGATGAAATTTAAACTATATCGAATAGCTTTTTATATATGTAAAATTTTTTTTTACAATTCAAAATTTATTTTAATTGCTTCATTTATTAATTTTTAAAAAATAATATTTAATCAATTTAAAATTTAAAAATGTCCATTTTTTTAATTTCAAGTTTATGAATTTTTTCGTGAAAAATACTTAGTTTTTAATAAAAAACCTTATAGTTATCCCTATATTTTAATTTGGGCACACCAAATGTGGGTCCAGACATAATTTCAATTTACTTTCAATTTGACAAAACACAAAGAAAAAAGGACACAAAAAAGAAAGCGGAGATTACTTTTTCTCGTCAAAAGAATTTATTATTTCCAAAATTTGAAATTAAACCCCGAATCATAATAACTACGTTGGCACCATATTGACCGTTGGATCATAGGAATAATCGTCAGACTACTGTGTGCTGACATATTCAACGACGTCATCGAGGCATCTTCATCTTGACTGTAACTTCCTTCTTGACCTTCGAGAGAAAGCGACAAATGCGGGAATCTTTTTTTTTCCCCTACGGTTCCCTACGTACAGTTTTGAAACGGCAGTTTGGACCTTGAAATTATATATTTGGTAGGTACTGCATGCAGTTAAGTTATTTTTTTCGTACGGTTCCACACTATGAGACAAAATTTTCATTTTTTAAATTAAAAATATAATATCAATTTAAAGTAAGCTGTACTATGAAAAATTTTCATCTCATAGAATTTTCTTTAAAAAAATTCAAAAATAAATAAATTTTTTAATTTTTTAAATTAAAATAAAATATATCGTATCTAATAATTTAAGATAAATAATTATAAATTATGTATTAAAAATAATTTTAACAAATAATTATCGATAAAACTCAAACTCAAAATTCTTTTATAAAAAAAAATAAACTTTATTAATTAAATCAATAATTTATTAATTTATAAAATTTTATCTTATTACAATTATCACGAAAATTTAACCTACGATCACCAAACTTTAATTTGATTGTTTGTTAATAAATTTGGTTTTTAATTAAAATTTTGTGAGTTGTATCAAAATTTTATAATAAAAAATGAGATTTAATAAAAATGACTTTTAAAAAATGATATATAAAAAAAATTAATTGATCGGATGCACATCAATAGATAATTTTTTACTTCATATAGAAGAAATAAAAAGTAAAAGAAATATGAACTTCTCTCTTGCTATGATTTTTTTTATTTTTAAATTGTATATAAATAAAAAATTTAAGAGTTAGGGTTTTAACTCTCTTAAAAAAAATAAAAAAAAATGGTAATTTGACAAAGTTGTTGGTGCATGATTCTACAAAGAACAGAGTTCGACTTTTTCTTTTCCAAATAAAATAATAACAATTAAGCCGAACCTTGATTGCGTTAGGTTTTTTTTAATTAAATTTGACAATATGTATAAATGTATTATATTTATTTTGCATTAATTATTAATAAAACATGAAATTTTTTTATCATATTATGAGGATAAAATTTTAGTACAAATAAAAAAAAAAAACGAGATTTGGTTCGAAATCAAGTTGTTGACGTCTTGTCAAACACTTTTAATCATTAGACTGAAGGCTTGGAGATAAATATAAAAGTTATTATTTTATATTTCATGTCGATACATCAAATATAAAATATATATTTTTATTTTTATTAAAATTTTAAATTATATTATTTTCATGTCTTTTTTTTCTTATTGTATCACTATATAATATTTAAAATTAATAAATCAACTCTTACTATATGTAACAATTAATATGTACCAATGATCTTGTAAAAGAAATATTATTAACGAAAATGGCAGGAACCTTGAAACTATATATAGTGCAAAAATGATATTAAAACGGTTGTTAGATAGATTGAAATGTAAGAAAACAAGGAAAAATATTGTTAGGTGGAAA